ATTTTGGACTTGCTTTATTTAATTAAAATAATATAATTTTTAATTATTCTTTGATTAAAATAATATTTACATTAATTTGTAATTATCCTTTAATTTAAATAATATTTATGTTTGATTTATTTAACTTAAGTGATATAATTTCTAATCATAATTTAACTCAGATAATATTTAAAATCACTAACAATGTTTTTGATATAATGATGACAAGAATTATAGAGAAAAATAAATACTACTCATTTATCAATTTTACCCGTTGACTTTTTTTGCCTCAAATTAAACTTTATCATCGCCAACAAATAAAATTTCTCAACATAATTTATTTTTTATTATAAAATCTTCATTTGTATGATTGTCATCAAATAATAATAATAATTATGAGTAAACTATGTTTTTTTTTTTTTCAAAACGATATAGATATTATATATAATATATGAGTAAACTATGTTCATGTTGTCCAATATTTTTCAAAAATATTTTTAATATTGACAAGATATTTATTTTTATAAAACTATTTTTAATGTTTCCTTTGTGCATCATAACTATAATAACATTATTTTTAATATCTATATATCCCTTGTATCTCACGGTGCGTGCTTAAATTACTAGTATAAAATAACAAATATGAAACAAGTTTGGACCGGATTGACCCGGAACAAGTGAAGATTTGATGGCAGTGGCACTGCCCTCAGGTGGCAATAAATTATTCCAGATAATCAAATTTGTCCTTTTGGGGCCAAAACTAATATTTAAATTTTAATTATCTGTTTGCACATGCATAACCAACATAATATGGAGATATATTGATAGAGTGAAATCTCAAGTACTAACAATTTTAATTAAGATATGAGTTAATTTAAAAATGTTATAAGCACATACTATTGAGAAATCCGAACTGGACCTGATAAAGTACGAAACAATAACAAAATAATAATTTCTGATGGTGTCTGTTAGCATTTTTGATTGGATAGGAAGGGGTGATTGGATGAGTTTTTTTTTATTCTTTTTGAATCTTAAATTGTCTGTTCTTTCTATTTCAACGTTTATTGCATAAATAAGAAAATCTTATAACGTAATTCAATTATGTGATTTTGATTATATTATTATTATTGATGATTTTGATTATATTATTATGATTGATCATTGATGCATATCTGATATTCATCGGGTATCACGAAGTTAAAGTAAACAATGTTTTGATAATAAATATTTTAGATTGATTTGGTGATCTCATGATCATATAGGCATTCAATTTTGAACTTGAGCCCAATATTCGATACTTGATGAACCACACGCATTCATTGATTATTGATTGAGTTTATGTTACATATTTGCATGAGGTTATTTGAGTCGATTGATTATGCTTTTATAATAAAAATATATATTTATTTTATGAAATGCCTTATCTTATTTTTAGAGTATGATATTTTAATTTAAATTTATGTTACATATTTGCATGAGGTTATTTGAGTCGATTGATTATGCTTTTATAATAAAAATATATATTTATTTTATGAAATGCCTTATCTTGTTTTTAGAGTATGATATTTTAATTTAAACGTATATATATCTACTGCAAAAATATAATTTTCTAAACATTATATTTTATCAATTAATTATTGATATGACATACCATACCAGTCGTCGGGAGCTCCTATAGCTTAAGGAGAACTGCCTAGTGAAACGTGGGTCTCGATCGGATACAATCTACGCAGGCACCCCATGGAGTTGCACTATCTCATCAATGTACAGCTTGGCTGTTCCATAGTCATCGTCGTAGGCACAGGCAGAAAATGCGCCTACATGGTAAATCGGTCCACAATCACCCATATAGAATTCTCCCATGATCTCGATCTAGGTAGGCCCACCACGAAATCCATCGTGATTCGCTCCCATTTCCACATAGCTATGTCCAGTGGACGAAGCAAACTAGACGACCTTTGGTGTTCGGCCTTCACTCGTTGGCACACTAAGCAGCCATCTACAAATCTCGCCAAGTTCCGTTTCATTCCCCTCTACCAAAAGGACTTCTTCAAATCCTGGTAGATCTTCGTACTCCCGGGATGAACGGTGTATGGGGCATTATGTGCCTCTCTCAAGATCTTCCTTCGTAACTCCCACACCTTTGGAACACAAAGTCTCCCTTCGAAGACCAAGGCCCCATCCGGTGTGACTGCGAATCCTCTAATTCGGCCGGCCTTCATCAATTCTCTCATCCGGCGTAAGAAATTATCGTTCGGTTGCTCGAAAACTATCCTCGCTCGAAGAGTCGGTCCCACAACCAATGCTGTCAACGCACCACTGGTCGTCGAAGTCAACTCCACTGCCTCCAGCTGCAGTCGCTCGAACTCCCGAACTAACACCCTCTTGCCTAGTAAACAAGTAAGATAGCTCGCCATGACTCTTCCGACTAAGGGCGCGGCGACCACGTTAGCTTTCCCGGGATGGTAGCTAATCGTGCAGTCATAGTCCTTGACAAGTTCTAACCACCTCCTCTGCCGCATATTGAGCTCCTTCTGAGTAAAAATGTAATTCAGACTCTTGTGGTTAGTGAATATCTCGCACTTCCCTCCATAAAGGTAGTGCCGCCAGATCTTCAAAGTATGGATCACTGCGGCTAACTCCAAATCATGTGTCAACTAATTCTGCTCACGAGGCTTCAACTGCCTCGACGCATATGCCACCACCTTCCCGTGCTGCATCAACACACAGCCCACGCCCAACTTCAAAGCATCACTATAGATGCTGAACTCCAAAGTTGGATCGGGAATGGCCAAAACAGGTGCAGTAGTCAGTCTCAACTCTCGAAAACTGGCCTCGCACTCGTGACTCCAAATGAACTTTTCCGCCTTCTTCGTCAGCTGGGTCATTGGTTGAGCTATCTTCGAAAATCCCTCGATGAATCTTCGGTAGTATCCTGCTAGGCCCAGAAAACTATGAATGTCGCTGGCGTTCTTTTGCGTCTCCCACTTACTCATCGCCTTTATCTTTCCTGGATCTACCTCAATACCTCTAGCTGTCACAATGTGGCCAAGGAAAGCCACACGATCAAGTCAGAGCTCACACTTCGAGAACTTTGCATACAACTTCTCCGTGCGAAGTGTCTCCAGCACAATCCTCATATGCTCCTTGTGCTGCTCGACGTGCCGGGAATACACCAATATGTCGTCGATGAACACGATGATGAATTGGTCTAAGGGTGAAAGAACTGGTTCATAAGGTCCATAAATACCGCCGGTACATTGCTCAATTCGAACAGCATCACCACGAACTCGTAGTGACCATACCTGGTCTGGAAAACAGTCTTTGAGATGCCGAACTCTCTAATCTTCAACTGATGGTATCCAGATCTCTGATCGATCTTAGAAAACACGCTGGCTCCCCTCAGCTGGTCGAATAGGTCCTCGATACGGGGCAACGAGTACTTGTTCTTTATGGTCACGTTATTCAACTCCTGGTAGTCAATGCACATCTGCATCGACCCATCCTTCTTCTTCACAAACAATACTGACTCTCCCTATGGTGAAACACTCTGTCGGATGAAACCAAGGTTAAGCAGTTCCTGGATTTGGGATTTGAGATCTTGTAGCTCCTTCGATGCCATTCGGTAAGGTGCCTTCGAGACTGGACCAGCTCCGGGCACTAAGTCGACGGTTAACTCGACCTGTCTGTCCAGCGGTCCCTCCGGCATCTGTTCCGGAAACACATTCATGTATTCGCACACGATAGACACATCCTCCAGAGATTACTTCTTCTTTTCCTTACTCCGACAATATTTACTAAGTAGCTTTGATAGCTACCCTTCGACAAACTCCGCATCGCCTTCAAGGATGAGTGACTCGGGGCACCATCCTCGACTTCGCTCCATAAAACGTGATCGGTTGGCCGTTGTCGGTGATATAGCTATATTATGATATACCGGTTCAAGTACCCCTTTTGTTCGAGCGAGATGACGACTCGAACCGTCCACATGTCGACATCTCTAAGTCGACAGACTTAAGTTGACCTCCCGACGGTTGACAGCTATGCATGATCCATTTGAAGGAAGATGCCGGTTTTACAGAAGCCGTTAGCCTTAAAGTCGACTCACGAAGTCGACTTCCACCAAATAAGTGAACAAGCGTAGCCTTCGAGCAAATTCATGAGAATCCCAAGTCGACCTCTTGATGCTCGAGGTCGACTCTTCACCCTTCGAGGAATCAGAGCATATTGATGACTTGAGAAACTTGCATT